AGCAAAAAATAAAGAGATTCAAAACATGAGTTTAACGTAATTGCAGCAAAAAAAGAGATTCAGCTTACAAGATACAAGTTCAACTAAAACATTGTCATAAAAAAGATAGAAGGGAGATAGAGACATTAATAGCTTCTATGTTGTTCGGAAAAGATAGACATTAATTAATAGAAAAAAAATAGACATTAATAGAAAAAGATATAGAGAAAGTTACATCAGCTACTCAGAGTTACGATGATTATGCAGCTACCTTTCAAAGTGAAACCCTTTTTTTCGAAGCTGAAGATGATTTCACCGACATGAAATACCAAAAATCGACATTTTTTAATCAAAGGTAAACCCAGAATTTTTGTTCTGTATAACAAAAAGCCGACAAGTAATCAAGTAAATTAAACTTGGAACTTTGAATTGATGCATAAACAAGTAAACCCAAAATACTAAAATCCACAAAAATTTGAAATTCAACTTCAATCCATGTCTGTAAAAGCTAAGAGCTAAAAGAAATTTGAAGAAAATCGTCGCTAGGGTTTAAGTTAGTATCGACTTCTACATCGGTAAATTGGTGCCTAAGACGAGCTTTAAGATCGATGGCCCATTAACAAAATCGCTGTCTCATAATTGAAGAAATAGTCATGTCATGAGTATTTACACGTAAGATTAATGATCGATCTATCAAAACTAATTAAAATAACACATTATTTCTTTTATTAATGACACGTAGAATAATCACCGTGGTGATAACACATCAGATTTTGGACCTCACAAATAATAGTATAGATAATAGATAATATATTACAGAGGCAAATTCGCAATGAATCAGATAACTGTAAAAACACTCGTACACACGAGAGAACACTCGTACACGCGAGAGAAGCACTTTTGAGTAGATGTATCAGAGAGTAAATTACTGAGAGGAAGCAGGTAACATTGGGAGTATTAATCGAGGGTGGGTGATTAAGAACCAATTTTCATGAGGTAAGAGCAGGTCACCTTGCTGATGTGAAGATGATGGAGTGGAAGCTGCTTCACGGTCTAGACCAGCCAGCTTTGCCCTCATGATCTGATCGGATATCAATAAACTTTGTGATTGCAAGTTATATCATCTGCTTCACGGTCTACACCAGCCAGATATTGATCAAGAAACGTACTTCTTATTACTAGTGCAACATTTGTTTAAAATTTTTTGTAAAATAACACATTTGCAATATTTTTGTTGTGTCTTATATTTTTGGCTTCGTTTGATTTTGGTGGTAGCTATAATTTGTAAGGTTTTTATGGTTCGATTTTATTGGCTAACCTTGCTTTCAGCCAGAGAATTTATATTGGTTTATGTTTGTCTTTAAATTTAGCTAAAAACCCATAAAAAAATTGTTTGGTAAATAAATCAAAAAAACATTTAATTACCACACAGTAATTTTTAGAAGGTTGAAGTAGACAAATTTCTTTCATTTCCTCTTCTTACTTTGAGCTTTGTACTTTGTTTCATATAACCATTCTACATAACATCATCGATCGCAGTTGGCATATTTTAGTTATTAGTATTTCAGACGTTAAAAAAAAACAAAAAAAAACTATCTGATTTTATTAATTAAAAATTTACATGTTCACGCTTTTGGGTGATCAAAGAAAATTAAAAGATGCATACATATAATCTGCATGAAATGAGAAACCTGGTAGTGCAATCAAATACATGAATCCTAAACACATATATTGACAATCTATACATATGCAATTATACATTTTATTTTCATATAAATTACTTCAACCTTCTAAAACACATAAGTTACGTCAACCTTCTAAAACATATGCAAACATACATTTTTGCTCAACATATTCGTTTATTTCTATTGGATACGACATCTTAGCATATATCTCTGTGTGTGTTTCATAACATAACCTAGATAGGGGAATCGTCTCGTTATAAAAGTATATGAACCATCTACATTTTCTTCAAAAATAATTAACTTGTGACAGCCGGACAGGATACCTCGTTTGCAGGGATATCGTCGCCGACCTAATAATTTCTCTATCACAAAATCTCATTTGCATTAGTTGTTATCCTATGTTCTTTTTCTTCTCTTTCTCATAAGCTCTCTCTCTTCCTTTTATTTAGGCAGCTTAGAAAACAAGCACACATTTGTAAATGGTGGTGATTTTTGGATAATTATACCATTAACAGAAAAGAAAAAAACCTTCGGACAGAAAAGGCATGACACAAAAAGATTTCATTATATTATAATGATAAATTGATGAGATAAGTAAGAACATAAAGGTGTTTAGGAAGAATTATAATAGACTCTCATAAAAATAATATTACAAAATACATTTTTTATATAAAGTTAAACTAAATGTAAGTTTCTTAATTTAAGATAAAATAAAAATAAAAATAATATATTTAGGATTAAAAGGTAATTAAGATTTTTCATAATCTTCCAGTTCCTTCTTGATCTTTATGATTTCCATAATTTTGATATGGTTGATCTTATGGATCTCTTAATACTTTCCCACATGCTCATATATTGTAACACATGTGAGATTGCATAAATTTTCAAAATATCAACGTTATACTCAGTCATTCAGTCATCATCACTGTGTTATACACAGCCGTTAGGTCAATCGGCAACATCCGACCATCAGGTAATTAATATTTATACCCGATCGTAGGGTTTAGTAAAACAGACAAACTCGCAATTACGATGTTCAGAAGTAATTCGCGTTGCAAAATAAACAACAACTCACGAGGGCGAGAAGTTGAATTAAAATAAGATGTCTTCGAGAGGGTAAAAACATCATCACCACCAAAAAAAATTAAACGAACCTACCAGCTGGTTCATATTCATAATACCACATTGTAGTCATCAATCTCCATTACGGTTGAGTAAAAAAAACCGGTGAAATCAATTCACCTCCACCAATAAATAAAATCCCAGCACAAACGTGTGCTTCGTCATATTTGTGCTCCAAGAAACGAACAATCATGTAGCCAATAGAGTATCAGAATTAGAGACTATCAGAATTAGGTTGACCAAGAAACGAACAATTAAAGTTTATCTTAATCTTCTTAGGGGTTGCTTGGTCTTACTTATAGCTTTGACTTTAAAATTAAATTAACTATAAAAAAATGCTGCTGTTAAAGTAAAAACTATGAAACTGATAGTTAATAAGAAAAGGGAGAGAAACATGCAGTTAAGAAGTATGTTGAACTTGCATGATTAGGCGTTTTTTTTGTATTGTAGGTGTGGTGAGAAATACGTCAGTTATTGACCAAATTAAAGAAGCGAATAAGGCAGTCCACTGCAAAATATTTAAGATACAATTTCAGATCTTGTCAAATTTTTATTATTATTTTAAACTATGTAGTTTATAATTTTTTTTGTTGTATTGGTAAAAATACTTGATATTATAAGTAGTAAATATTTGTTTAATATTTTTAAAAGGAAAAAAAAACACACTTGTAAGTAATATTTTTGTTGTATTTTAGACTTTTGGTTTGGTTTGATTTTCGTGATTAGCTACTAGCTATATATTTTGTAAGGTTAAAATACATGGTTCGGTTTTATAGGTCAACCTTACTTCTCGAAACTAAATTTTTTTTCAGCCAGAGAATTAATTGGGTTATATTTAGCCCAGCCCCATAAAATAAGAAATAAACTAAAAAACATATACCACATAATTTTTTATATATAAACACTACAATAGTATGATATCTTTAGATTCATAATAATAATAATCCAAAAACAAAAAAAAAATTGTGAAATATTTTTGCTTCAAGAAATGAATAATCTCATGATTTTTGTGTTAGTTATTGCTATGTTTTTTGGGTTGAGCCAGAGCAGAGATCCACAATTGTGCAACTTAAGAAAGTTGGAAATTCAAAACAAACTGGGTGATCATGGTCAGATTCTTATTGTTGCGTGCAATGATAAGTTTGAGAGTGGAAACAGACCCCAAAACGTCACCTTGAAATTCAATGAAAAACGCGTACTTACAAAAGACGCTATTTGGGGAAAGGAAAGGTGGGAGTGTTGGTTGTTAAAAGGACCGCCTCGGTTAACACCTCCAACGGATCTTTATATTTATAAAGTAAAGGCTCAGTTATCACCTCGAACAACTCCATGTAAACATGGATTGCGCTCATGGATTGCTAAAAGTGATGGAGTTTACTTGGAGGAACATACAGTAAAACCTACATCGACACTTGCAGGTAGATGGGTTAAAAATGATCCCCTTATATATCATAAAAGAATTTAATGACATCTATGGAAAATCAACATGCCTTTTCTTGTATTTTCTTTTCGTAAAACTAACTAATATTTTTATGAAACTAATTAAGAGGTATTATATTATCCTAAAGTTTCTTCTTCTTTTCAACCAAGCTATCAGTCTAGCTTGGCAATAGAAGATACACCAGAATAAATTAGTATATGAGTTACTTTGATAAGTATCTTATTTGTATACTACTATATCAAACTTTTTTAATAAAATCTTAACAATAATATTTATTTGAGAAATAGGATATTGTAATAGCGATCGTTCTTTAACTCTTGTTTTTTTTTCGATTGCTTTGTGTTTCAATGGGTGAGGACTATGACTATCCCTCGATTTTGTACTTTACAAAAAATTTCTGGTAATTTTGGTTGCTAGTTATATTAGGTTGTTTGGATCTGATTAGTTGGAGACTATGAGTGATGATGAACTTTGTGACTGCCTAATTGGATCTGGTGGCATGTGTGTGCACTCTCTATTCCCTTTTGTTTTAAGTTTTAAGAGGATGTTTCGTATTTACGACCAGCGATTTGGTCGTCTCGAGCATGAAAAGACTTGTCAAAAATTTTGCATTTTGATACCTAAGTTTTATTGGAATCAAAACTCCGCCGATAATATAGAGAGGTAAAAAATACGCTAATAAAAACAAAAGACGATTAATGAAATAAAAATAATATACGAGGACCAAAATGAAATAAGACTAGACAAAAGAAAATTAGAGAGAGTCGTCCGTCGTCTCTCCAAACCAAACCCAGAAACTCCGTCCAGACGTGTTCCGGTGCAGCCAAGAACCAGTTACAGAGAGAGAGAGAGAGAGAGAGAGAGAGAGAGAGAGAGATGCGGAAGATCAGTTCCCTGTGCGGAAGAATTACGAGATTACCCCCCGAAAAACCAACGAAGCAATCTCATTCATTTTTTCTCGCCTCTCACTCTTTCGGTTTCCTTAGCGACGGTGGTTATGGCGGTGGCGCTGAGCCTCAGCAGAATAGCTCCAGGGTCAAGATCTTCGATCGAGACCTCAAGCGCATACATGTGCACTTTTCGAATTCATCTTTCATTTTTCCTTTCTCGTTCCCGATTCTTTTGTTTCTGATTTATTACTTTTCCTTCTTTTTTTTTGTGTGTGTGTTTTCGATTTGACTCCTGGATTGAAGCGTGACCGAGCGGCGTGGCTGTCTCGACATAGAAATGACACTTTTGTCGACGCTGTTGCAGAGAATCTGCTTGACCGCTTAGAGGTAAGTTACTCGAGCTCCGTTTTTTATATCATCGCTTTAAGACAAGTTAGAGAGCTACTAGTATTAGCAAAAAAAATGCCATAGGTGAGTAATGAATCATGTTTCTCGTCTTTAATTATAATCAAGATTAGTGATCTTCTTTTCTTTTTTTTTTTTCTTGCTATGCTCTTTCTCTAAGGATTGTAAGAAGCGTTTTCCCACTGCATTGTGTTTGGGAGGATCTCTTGGTGCTGTTCAGCGATTGCTACGTGGTCGCGGTTTGTTAGCTCTCTCTCTCTCTCTGTCTGTCTTTTGACTGTTCTGATTTGGATCAACATTTTTTTCTATTCCGATGCTGAATTTGGCTTTGTTGCGCAGGTGGGATTGAAAAGCTTATCATGATGGATACCTCATATGACATGATTCAGTCATGTAGAGATGCTCAACAAGATTCGCTCCTTGAATCCATCGAGACATCTTATTTGGTCGGTGATGAAGAGTTTCTTCCAATCAAAGAGAGGTAACAACAACACTAGTTTTTTTTTTTTTTTTTTCTTGCCTTTTGCCGCCTGAGTTATATACCTTACTAACATCTGCTCAATGGCTTTCTTCTGCAAAGTTCGGCTGATTTGATCATAAGTTCGTTGGGGCTTCACTGGACAAATGATCTTCCAGGATCCATGATCCAGGTTTTCCCCTTATTTATTATTTTTTTTTTTTTGGGGTTTTTTTGCTGGTGCAATGTGTATCCTCTGAGCGATGTTAATTGATGTGTGCTGGTTTTGGATTGAAATAACTGGCAGTGCAAACTGGCGCTGAAGCCTGATGGCCTATTCTTAGCAGCAATTCTTGGCGGAGAAACCTTAAAGTTTGTCCTGTCTTTCCATTTCGTATCAACAAGACTCAACATACTAAAAACATAATGTGTCCTTTCTTGTTATCCTTTATAAATTGAAAATTTTCTCTTTTATCAGGGAGCTGAGAATAGCATGCACTTTGGCTCACATGGAGCGCGAAGGTGGCATTAGTCCCCGGTTATCGCCTTTGGCACAGGTGTGTCTGTGTGTGCGTGAGTCTTAGCTTGAAAATGACGCCGATTGCAATTTTTGTGTAGATGACAGATTGGTTTCTAGTACTGAGCTCAGGAACATTGGCTTTCTCTCTCTCTCTTTTTTTTTTCTTCTTCTTTCAGGTTAGGGACGCAGGGAATCTCTTAACGAGGGCGGGTTTTAGTCTTCCTGGGGTTGACGTTGACGAATATGTTGTTAAGTACAAGTGTGGTATAAACTATTCCACTTTTTGTTCCTTCATCACTGGTGTGTGTATCTTGTAAGAAATTCTTCATCAAAGTTTGCCTCTTGTTTGATGTCTTTCTACTCAGCGCTGGATCTTATAGAGCATCTTCGTGCTATGGGTGAAACAAATGCTCTTCTTCAAAGAAACAAGGCTGGTTTCTTCTTCCTGCCAGAATTTATTTTGCAATTCTGACTACTCCATACATTTTCCTTAACCAAGATTCCTCTTCTTGACTACAAAAAAAAAAAACAGATTTTGAACCGCGAAACTGCACTTGCCACAGCAGCCATATATGACTCCATGTTCGCCACAGAAGATGGCACTGTCCCTGCTACTTTTCAGGTCTGTTGCTTGAACTTTAGAGCTATCTCAATAGCAGAAGAACCATTAACCCAGCTCCCTTATTTAAGTTGTTTTCCTATACAATCCTATATATAGCCATAGATATTATATAGCCGTATAGGCTTTTACCTGCACGGTACGCAATCTATAAAGTTTTGAGGAGCATTTCTATGTAGGTGATTTACATGACGGGATGGAGAGAACACTCGTCTCATCCGCAGGCCAAGCGGAGAGGCTCAGCCACGGTATCCTTCACGGATATCCAGAAGCAATTTGGCGGTGATAACCTTGAATCTTGATTGGTTGATTGATGAGGAGATCAGGGCCGTGCCCATGTTAAAGAGAAAAATAAACACTTCGCCTACGAGCTTTGTGAATATACATATTTTTTTGGGATACATTTTGATATTAAAAAGATTGGGACAATGATAAACTTATTCTAAACTATTAAACATAATAAATCGTATTCAACATATTTAAAACATGCTTTGGTTTTTTTATATTTTTGTTTTGTTATGATATCTATTTTGACTTAATTTTAGTTAATTAGAAAACATTTGTGACTCTATACCTGAAGTATACTATCATAATTTATTCTATTATATCATTCAAAAACCAAAAAAAAAAAATATTATTTGTATAAATTCAAAATGAATTTTATAAAAAGAAAAATTAAAAATATCTCATCGTTGAGTAAAATGTTGTATTGATAATATTTTTTTTCAGTTAAGAAATCTTTTTTACACATATTATGTTATATGCTTAGAAAGAAATACATGATTAACTTTCATTTTTTTTAAAGAGAGTTTGTGTGTCGAAATAATTTGTTTTATATACAATATTAAATACTACTTCCATTGTTTCAATTTATAGATCATTTTAGAATTAATTTTTTATTATTTCAAATTAAGTGTTGTTTTTGATTTTTAATGCAGAATTTTTAGATAAATTTTCATTTTTAACCTTATTGTAATGTATTAATAATAGAGAAAATTATATAGTGTATTAATTAAGAGTGTTATATAAATTTTAATATGTCATTTTTAATAATTTGTGCGGAACAATTTTAAACAATCTATAAACTGAAATGAAGAGAGGAAGTACTAATTAAAATAATATTAATCTGATAATACTAAATTATTTTTTGCATTAAAAATGTATAAAAATATTTAAATTATAATGGATTAATAAAATAATTATTTTAACTAAAATGCTATGATAGTTGCGAAATCTTAGAAAGGGCTCTGGATAAATGATAAATCAAGACTTTACGAATGAGACTGAGAGAATTAGTGACTTAACTATAGAGTACTTTGTGAGAAACTCTTCTAAGTTTGTCTCCAAAAATATGACCTTTGTCTGAGTTGTTCATTGCGCGAAAGCATCCCAATCATGTTGCTTAATGCTTAATGTATCTTGCATCGAATAATAATGGTGGACTAATTGACCAGATACATGTTCGACAATGGTAAATTCGTACAACTAACCAAAGTTTCTTGAATTGGCCCGACAGTGAAACATACTTGTATATATATTCACAACATTTTTTGTTTGCTTACTAGGATCCAACGATGCTTTCTTTTTTTTTTTTTTGTAGCTATATATATATATATATATATCTAAAAAAATCAAAAAGAAGATCAAACGTGATCGTGACCGTCCAGATAATCATACACTGATATGTTCAACGGCTCCAGTACTTCACCTCCATTCTCACAATACGCCGTCGTACCACCGTACACAGAGTTCCCGGACATGAGATCACCGCCGCCGTTACGGTGGACGATTAAGCCGGCGTCAACGGCCATTCCGGCATTGGAAGCAGCTTGCTGGATAGATCTCGGAGAAGTTTTGGAAGCGATCGAAGGAGGAAGCAATTGCGGGAAATTGAGAGTCTCGAGTGAATTGGGTTGGTGTAAACAGAAGAATGCCACGTCGTGTGCTACGGCGGCGCCTTCTGCGGTGGAGAATGAGCCTAACCAGAGACGCTCGCGAGTTCCCGGAACTCGTATCTCCGATACCCATTTTCCCCATTTCCGGCGACGGATTCCTTTGTACTTTGATTGAGTTTCACCGGCGTCGTCTCTGTTATCCATTTCTTGTATGTTTTGTTTGAGTTTTTGAATCTCTGAGGATACGGTGACTATTTATACGTTGAACTTTGAAAGTCAAAAAGGATTAAATAATATATGTACCATAATATTAGTTACGTTGACCAATCTAATCAAATTTTATATAATAATAATATTTTTTAATTCAACTGAAAAAATCAACGGGTCAAAGTATGACCCCTCTAGTGGTGGTATCAATTTGACATGCGGTGGATATTTGCTGGTTTCAAGTTTTATGAGAGTGAATATATTTTATTAATGTAATTAAAAAATGAATCAATTTTTTTTCTTCACAATTTAAACTATACGCATAAAATGCTTTTTAGGTTTTATTGCTTAAATAACATTTAAATTGTTTTACTTTTTTAGTCAAAACTAATTTTTTAACATTCAGATACTTTTGGCATCTATTTATTTTCAAAAAGATGTAGCTACGACTTCGTAAATAAATAAAAATTGGTCGTATAATTATTATTTTTTACAAATAAGTGTCTCTATTATTTATCGCTGTTGTTCAAATAATTTATTATTACAACATAGGGATGTTAGGTGAATTTGTGATTTTCTTTTTATATCATTGTTCATTTAGACCAAAACATTATTAAGACTAAAACATGATATTAAGGGGAAAGCAGTTAAAAACCCACAAAAAGTCGATTCAAACTTGAGAATCCAGATGAAGAGAACGTGAAATGTTGTCGTGTGTTGTTAACCACGTGGGGATAAGAAAACAACGAAGACTTTCTTTGCTTTTTTTTTGGTTTTGTTTTGTGTGTACATTTGCATCATGCGTGACGTGAGCAGCAGCGTCTAAACCGGGTCCCTTTATTTTTTTTTTTTTGGCATTTGACCAAAATCTATCAATGACTGACTCTCCACGGACTGACTACACACAGCCAGACCAAAACTAATTGCAAAAAGTTGTTTTTTGTATTGTTATGTAATTAATATATGCAGAGACAAATTGATATGGTGTCGAAATTAGTTCACACACAGCCACGCCCTCACACGGAATCACCCACGGAGGAAGGAACTAGTCTCGTCATGTAATCAATGTGGTTCACAATCAGATTAGTTGATTAGTGTACTTCTGGTCTATACACACATTTTTGGATCATTCTATTCTATTACACACCGACTCATTTTGATGATGTTGACATTTAGAACTAAGATATAATTTAGAAAGGTTTTACTATGAGTTTTGTCCGTGTTTATTTATAAAAATAAAACATTTTACTAGTATTATATTATTATATCATATATATTAGCATCATTTATAAACAGTATACACTATAATATTTGATGTTTCATTTTATAAGTTTAAAGAAAGAAAGAAAATAGCTTAGTGGGCTAAAATGGGTTAGAAATATAATTGGGTCATGAAGTGAATGATCTTAAACAAGAGGCCCAATTTCATCTGATTACATTTCACCAAACGAACAAAATTCAAAGGCATCTCTTTTCTTTTCTACAAAACCTTTGCCACCACTTCACGCGCGGCTTCTCCTTCTTTGATTCGTCCCTTCGCTCGGTGCTGTCTCCGGAACATCTGTCTTTTGTTTTTCTTCTTCCTACATGAGTTCTGTCTCCTCTCTTCTATGCTTCTATAGTTTTACCTCGTACTTCTGTGTTTCGACTGTGTACGGTATGTTTTGAGCACCACTTGTTTGATGATATTCCTCAATAAATCTATTTTCTTTTTTTTCTTTCTCACCTTTATTTTCTGCTTTGATTTTTTCAGACGGAGAAGCTAAATTGGTTGAATTTTTGCTTTCATGGATCAAACTAACATTGGAACAATAAACAAAACCGATTCTTTTCGCGAAACTCTTCTGGGTTTCTTGGGTAGACGTTGCGATCATATGCCCGCTTACTGTATATGCCGTCTTCTCCTTCCCGCTATCTTCCCAGAGGTCTCACCGTAACCGAAATTCGCAAGTTTATTCCCCAATCGTGGAAACACCCACCAAGAGAAGAAGAAACCCACGATGAATCAGTTCCGGATGCTCTTTTCAAATCACTCGGACATTTCATCTCCCATGGTGATTTGCACGAAGCTTTCAGAGCTTTCTCCCTCCTTCTCCGTCAGTCTTCTTTGCCTGGTTCTCATGAATTCTTTTTGCAATCAGCTGCTTCCCTTTTATCGTCCTGCGTGGAGTTCAACGAGTTCGTCCCGGGGCAGCAAATTCACGCTCATTGTATCTCCTCGGGTCTGGAGTTTGACCCCGTTTTGGTCCCAAAGCTGGTTACTTTCTACTCTGCCTTTAATCTCCTTGACGAGGCTCAGAGCATCACTGAGAGCTCCGACATTTCGCATCCCTTGCCGTGGAATGTGCTCATCGGTTCGTATGTCAGGAACAAACGGTTTGATGAGGCGGTTGCTGCTTACAAGCGGATGGTGAGTAATGGGATTCGACCAGATGCTTTTACTTACCCGTCGGTTCTCAAGGCCTGTGGAGCATTGCTGGATTTTGCATCCGGAAGAGTTGTTCATGGCTCCATCGAGGTTAGCTCTCACAGGTGCAGCTTGTATGTCTGCAATGCCTTGATATCTATGTATAAAAGATTTGGTAAAGTCGATATCGCTCGGAAATTGTTTGACGGGATGTCTGAAAGGGATGCCGTCTCATGGAACACAGTGATTAACTGTTATGCCTCTCCAGGCAAGTGGGAGGAAGCTCTTAAGCTTTTTGATAGAATGGGTCTCTCTGGTGTAGAAGCGTCTGTTGTAACTTGGAACACATTTGCTGGACGTTATTTGCAGGCAGGAGACTACGCAGGGGCTTTGCATCATGTCGCTAAGATGAGAAATCACAAAGGAAGTTTAGATCCTGTAGCTGTGATTAATGGTTTGAAGGCATGCTCCCAGCTTGGAGCGATACGGTGGGGAAAAGAATTTCATTGCCTTGCAATCCGTTGTTGTTACACTCGAATTGACAATGTTGGAAGTTCGCTGATCACAATGTACTCAAGATGTGGCGATCTTAGGAACGCCTTAATAGCGTTTCTGGAGATTGAAACAAATAGTTTGAGTACATGGAATTCTATCATTTCCGGTTATGCCTACAACGAGAGATCAGAAGAAACATCTTTCCTGCTTAAGGAGATGTTGCTCGCTGGCTTTCACCCAAATCATGTTACGCTTGCAAGCATTCTAGCACTTTGTGCTCGGGTGGCAAACCTGCAGCATGGGAAAGAGATTAACTGCTACGTCCTGAGGCGGCAAAGCTTCAAAGACTGTTTAATCCTGTGGAACTCCCTCGTTGATATGTATGCGAAATGTGGGAAAATCGTCGCTGCAAATCGGGTATATGATTCGATGACCAAAAGGGACAAAGTGACATACACGTCCTTGATATATGGATATGGCATACTTGGTGAAGGAGAAGTCGCATTGGCATGGTTCAACGATATGATCAGATCCGGTATCAACCCTGATCATGTAACTATGGTTGCAGTTTTATCAGCTTGTAGCCATTCCAATTTATTGCGTAAAGGACAAAGCATGTTTGAGAAGATGCAGCATGTGCTTGGTATACCCCCTCGCCTTGAACACTATTCTTGTATGGTTGATCTCTATTGCAGAGCAGGTGACCTGGCTAGAGCGAGAAATATAATCCGTAGAATACCTGAGGAGCCATCTCGTGCTATGTGTGCTACTCTAATAATAGCTTGCTTGAACCACGGGAACAAAGACATTGGTGAATGGGCTGCAGATAAGCTACTCCTGGAGATGAAGCCAGAGAACTTTAGGCACTATCTGTTGATTGCAGAGATGTGTAGAGTTAGTGGTTCTTGGAGCAATCTTGCAAAGGTGAAGGAGACTTTGATGAGTTTGCAAAAGGCTCATGAGTTTGCTTTGGTGGATACAGATAGTGGGTCAGATGGATTGAATAAGCCAATGATCGATACTGTTGGTTTGTCTTGCATCAGTCAAGAGCAAAGTTCAGATGAGGAACGTCTTGTAGAAATAGGATAAATATGTTATTTGACCCCTTCTTTTTCTGAGGATACAGCATCATCAATTTGTTGATTGTATACATAATCTCTATCAAAAAGAAGTTTTACATTTGCTTTATTTCCCCCACCGGATGCTAATCTCTTATTTACATACAAACTTTTGTTCTCAGGGAAACAGAATAAAGTTTTAGAACCTTGAAATCGCTGTTCAAAATAAAACAAAAAATTAACGAAAAGAACCTTGAAATCAATATGCAGGAAGCTAATTTTCAGTTTCTTTCTTTGGAGTATATAACCAAAAAAATAATAAGTAACTGATAATTGAAGTTCAAATTTTGCTCTGGATGCCTTTGAAAAATTATTCTGATCTATAAGCAAAAACAGCTTTTACATGAAAATAAAATTGAGCCCAGTAAAAAACCCATTTGATTATTGGCCCATTATTACTGATTTGGTTTAAGAGGGCTCTCTTTCCCCACACACAAACCCTAAAGAATCTTTCCAAATTCCTAAAAGCTCCAAAGAAGCGAGATCCGTGTTCATTTTCTCTTGTTGTTTCCCGTTCCGTTGCCGGCGAAAATGGCGTCGTTTGACGAAGCACCACCAGGGAACCCCACGGCCGGTGATAAGATCTTCAGGCTCAAGTGTGCTCAGTGCCACACCGTCGAAAAAGGCGCCGGTCACAAACAAGGTTACACGCAAATCCATCTCTGATCTCGTGGCTTGTTTTTATCTATGTTGGATTTAGAGTTTATCTGGATTTCGTATCATGTCGCTTCGGGACCGATCTGTTCATGCGTTAGCTTATAGATCTCCGATTGCGAATCCGTCGGTCGATCAAATAATCATAGATCCGATCCATGAACATTGATATCGCGTTGTTGTTTATCCTTGAAACATTTCAATGTTTCTGTGACGATTACGAATTTTCTGGCCTTGTCTCACTTGTCTTAGTATTTGATTTCGAATCCTAGATAGTGAAATAATATAACAATTGATCTTTGGCTAGCTGGATCATCATTACCCATTGTTGATCTTACGTTTTGTGAAAATGGTTTATAGGACCGAATCTAAACGGTCTCTTTGGAAGACAATCGGGCACAACCGCTGGTTACTCTTACTCTGCTGCTAACAAGAACAAAGCTGTGGAATGGGAAGAGAAGACCTTGTACGATTACTTGCTTAACCCTAAGAAGGTATCCCTCTGTTATCATGATACATGCCTGCTTGTTTCATGATTCGTCGTGAATAACATTTGAGATTGATATTTTCTGATTTGGTGTTGTGATATGCAGTACATTCCCGGAACGAAGATGGTCTTCCCTGGGCTGAAGAAGCCACAAGACCGCGCTGATCTCATCGCCTACTTGAAGAATGCTACTGCCTAGTGAATCAATGGTGTGGGACGTGACGATTTCGATTCCCGAAGATTGGATATTCTTTTGACAAATAAAAATCTCAAAACTTTTGTTTTTGTTTTTTTGGAAATGCCCTCATCTTCAATTACGTTTTGGTGAGAATTTGGCTGTCGAGTTCCAAACGCACTCGAGTACTTCCGTTTTTATTTGAAACCATTGTATCGCATATTCTTGTTTCTTTTTGTCGAGAAAAAATATTATATTATCAACTATGAACAATAAGAAGGCAATATTAATGTCATCCTAGATAAACATTCAACTTTGGTACATTGTTCTCCTTACAAGTCCTAGAGTGTTTAATCTTTACCCAATGGATCCAAATCCAATCACTGGCCTGTTTCATTTTCTTAGTTTGCAGTTCTCTACTTATCATCATCAATATCTTTTATAGCATCCTGCAACACCCGACAAGCATGGGATCAGTATTGGGAGGTTAGAGTCAGTTGTTCTTCTGACATTAGAAGAGTTTGCACTATGCTGCTTACTGGTATGGTGACAGTGAAAAGGCAGGCCAGAGAAAAAGGAAAACAATTACTAACAAGTACGAGTTACCTTTGCAAGGCGTGTCACATATGTTGCAGCCAATGCAGTTACCAACAGACCCAACCCGAGTGTTAAAAGCTGGCCGTTTCCTCCAGGCAAGCCAACATTAGATTCTTCTTGCTGAAACAACATCGATAGAAGATAGCCATTTGATGAATTAATGATGCTTGACAGAATCACAATATATTCACAGCCCATCACATTCATGAAAGCCACACAACACAAGTCGAGCAGACACATAATTTCTTCGATTTAAGTTAAATTGCATAAGTAATGACTGTCTTCCTATTGTCGAGTATTTTTGTCTTTTATTCGATATCAGTCCCCTTTTTCATTACGTCAAAGACAATAAAATTTTGATGTGATCCCACAGGTTGATGATCTGTAACCTTCTTAACCCCCTGCTTTTCTAAGTTAGCTTTCACTGGTAGTTCTACATAGACTACTGCTGATCAACATGGACCTATTGTACACCTAGCAAAAGAAAAAGCTTGGTGGATCCTAATGTACCCTTACACTTGACATGAGAAGAAATGCATGTTTCTGTGCAGTTACATTTTTTTTTTTTTTGGTCCTAGTGTCTACACTTTGGAGGGATAAAAAGAAATAGATTATAAAAAGACAACAAAACTCACAATAATTGCTCGTCCAAAAGCGCCAGCGCTGACATAAGCCCAAGATCCTGGAAGCATACCCAACCAGCTGCAAAAATAGTATGATCCATGAATATGTATGTAAACTCAGAGTCACCTTATCAAGTTGAACTCTTGTTCTTAAATGCAAAACAAATTGACCATAGGGCAATAGTATAAGAAGTTGCACTAACACAAACCTTCCAAACACGTAAGGCACAAACTTCACAGATGTTAACCCGTAAAGGTAATTTCCAAGAGAGAAAGGAAGCAGAGGGCTTAGCCGAAGGAGAGTAACAACCCTAAACCCATTTTCACCAATCGCTTTATCAATGGCGAGGAACTTCTTGTTGCCTTCAACTAACTTAAGGATGCGCTCTCGGGCAAAGTATCTGGCAATTAGGAAAGCAACACTAGCAGCCATCTAACCAGAAGTAAAAACCAAAAAAAAAAATCAGACAACCAAAGATATATAGAACTTGGTAAAGGTGACTTGATGAAATGGATATTGAGTTTTCTGTGTTCTGGTAGAACAACTTACTGTTCCACTGATAGAAACTATGATAGTGCCAACAACAGAACCGAAGAGAAGACCAGCCGACATCGTCAGTGGGAGAGCCGGAATGGCTAGTATCTAAGCAGAAGACAAAACAAAAACAAAAACAAAAGCTTGAAGCTGAGGCTACAGAGTCTCAGTGGAAAATCAAAGTTGGATTCAAGCAATGGAGCAAAAACATCAAAAAGAAAAAGCTTGCCTCAAGACCAGCATACACGGCAATGAACAGTGCATACCCAGCCGGACCATAACCTGTTATTGATTCGAGAACACAGGTCAACTTCTGAAAATTGATCAAAACTTATCCTAAATGCATCGGTTAACTAGAGGTCTATTGTCATTGAGCTCAACATACAACCAGAAGGCTAAACCATACAATCAATCAACCCTATTGCAGACCATATGCACATAAAATCGAATCGGCCAAGTAGTAGAAACCTTCGATTAGAGTTGAGAACTGAGTGAGAAACGTATTGATCTGGTCTCTGTAGACGTAGCCAACGCCGGCGAATCCACCAACAGAACCAATCAACAAAACGCCGGCCAAAATCGTGCCCTTGATAGCAGCATCCCCTTCCGATCCGCCATCGTCATCGCTCTCAGCCGCGGAGGATTTAGCATCGTCGTCGTTGTCGTCGTCACTGGATTTGGGATTGAAGAACCACCGGAGACTCTGGGGAGGTGGAGCGGTGGACGGAGGGCGAAGAGACTGTTGCTGCTTCTTCTTCTTCGTCTGCTTGAGAGAAGAACATGGCTTGAGGAAATGGAATCGCCTGCAGAGCCTGAAGGAGGAGTTGCAGATGAAAGGAAGAGAAGAGGATCTGAGACCCAGAGTGAGGCTGCGCATCTTAAAGCAGCTTTTTAACCAAGATTGGAATTGAAGCTGTTGTTGTTGTATCTGTGTGCCATCCAATTTTTTTTCTTCACAGTTTCTTTCTCTGTTGGCGCGGCATTTTTCCTACCGAAGAAGACGCATTTCGGATGGGGCTTCTGGCGATCTCGAGTGCCACGTGTCCTTCGCTCTAAGGATCACGAAATTAAATTCATTTCCTCCATAACCATTTTTTTTTCGTGGTATATTGCCTCGTAATACATTGAAAAAATGATAATACAGTAATTCGATCGTTTATTCGCATCCAAAGTCGAAACAAACAAATTCAATTTATTTGATATTTCGTCATATAAACATACTCTATGTTTTTTTTTTAATACAGTTTATACGTTTGAATTAAGGCAAAAAAAAAAAGAATTAAGGCCAGAAATCATTTCGACAATGCTTATGGTGGAACAAGAATATCAAAACATGTAACAAAACCGAAGAAATCGAATGTAGAATCAAAGAAAAACACGAAATTGGAAGCAAATCAAAACGGAATAAAGATGATTTCCGCTCTGTTAATGAACTGAGTTAGTCTCTTAGTTACAACTTTCAATTATTTATGCTATCGGTTAGTCCGGTTTAATAACAAGGATAAACATCATTGCTAAAACGGCCCCGTTTCATAGCTTTGAGAAACAAGGATAGTAAAGTGTAAAAATTCTAAAAGTGTTGTTGTTATTAAGAAGTCAAAATGGGAATTCGACGTGTCTGATGACTCTTTGGTCTTACCGGCATTCGTGACTGATCGCCGGAGTTTCCAATCGCCATTACTCTTCTGCTCAAAAATTCCGGTCACTGCCACTGTCTTCCTATTCCTGTTTTAGGTCAGATGGCCAAATCTCGGGCAGTTGTGGAGCTTACTGCCCGTTTCGATCTCGGCGGCGACGATAAGATCCGAGCCCTGTCTCTCTCCCCTCACTCCGATTCCCAAACCCTAGTATACGTCGGCACTTTCTCCGGATCCCTTCTTCTCCTCTCCATCGACACTTCAACCAATATTGTCGCGCGTCTCGGAAGTGTGTCGCTGAGCGCTTCTCCAGTGGAGTCTGTCTTCGTGCTCGGCCAGGAAAGAGGGAAAGTTCTAGCACTCTGTAATGGGTGCTTGCACTTGGTGGATTCGCTTCTATCTCAACCCGCTAAGAGATTGGGTGGTTTATTAAAAGGGATCAATGTTGTTGCTAGGAGAGTGAGAGGACGCGACTCGTCGAGTACTGACTTATTGCCTTCCGATGTTTCAGCTGATTCCAGCTCGAGCAAGAAGTTTCTTCAGATGCTTGGCGCTGGGAATCGGGTGAGTGACATCAAAGGTAAGGATTCCCGACATGAGCGAGTCCACCAAGGTCATTATGTTTTCGCTGTTGCAATTAGTGAGAGAATGTTGCTGATCGAACTTCAATGTGATGAGAAAGATGGGACAAGTGCTTCCTTTGTTGTCTTGAAAGAGGTTATGGGAATTGGTGGGATTAAAACTTTGGTTTGGCTTGATGATTATGTTATTGCGGGAACCGTTAAAGGGTATAGCTTGATCTCGTGCGTTACTGGTCAAAGTGGGGTGATTTTCACGTTGCCTGATGTGTCTGCTCCGCCACTGCTCAAATTGCTATGCAAAGAGTGGAAGGTGTTGTTGTTGGTGGACAATGTTGGAGTTGTTGTGGACACAAATGGTCAGCCTATTGGAGGGAGCCTTGTGTTTCGGAGGAGGCCTGATTCTGTTGGAGAGTTGTCTTTCTATTTGGTGACGGTTGGAGATGGAAAGATGGAAATTCATCAGAAGAAGTCGGGTGCTTGTGTTCAGTCAGTTAGTTTTGGTCCTGAAGGGTGCGGGCCTTCATTTTTGGCCGTAGATGAGGCAGGAGATGGAAACCTTTTGGCTGTTACTACCTTGTCTAAGGTGTTTATCCCGATAATGGCTATCTTCACTTCTCTCGAGTATATCGTGTTGATCATGAATTTTCTTTCAACTCTTTCATTGTGATGTTTCAGCTTCTTTTTTACCGGAGAGTGCCTTATGAAGAACAGATTAAAGACCTTATGAGAAAAAAGAGATATAGAGAAGCCATCTCCCTGGTGGAGGAGCTTGATTCAGAGGGGGAAATTTCGAAAGAAATGCTTTCTTTTCTTCATGCTCAGATAGGGTATCTACTACTATTCGATTTGCGCTTTGAGGAAGCGGTGGATCAGTTTTTAAAGTCAGAAAAAATGGAACCTTCTGAAGTTTTCCCTTTTATCATGCGGGATCCTAATCGGTGGTCTTTGCTGGTATGTTTTTTTATTTCCTGGCAGCTGGAATTTTATGATGTACTCTAAAGTTGTTTCTAACAGCTCACTATTTCCCTTGCCAAAAGGCATTTCCTAACATGTAGTGAACCTGATTTATGATGCCTCAAGCCTTGTCCAACTGCTCTCTGCTTCACTAATATTCTTACTTGCTTTCAGGTTCCAAGAAACAGGTACTGGGGACTGCATCCTCCCCCTGCTCCATTCGAAGATGTTGTAGATAATGGGTTGATGGCCATCCAGAGAGCCATTTTTTTAAGAAAAGCGGGGATGGACACTCCGGTTGACGAAGAGTTTCTCTCAAATCCTCCAAGTAGAGCTGATTTATTGGAGTCAGCAATTAAAAACATCACCAGGTGATATAACTGCTCTTTTTATGCATTTTGCTCTCCTCTACAGAGGTATATTATTGCTTTCTATGGTTCAAATTGGCATATAACGAGGTAATGTTACCCTTTGCAAAAGGTACCTCGAGCTATCACGTGAGAAGGACTTAAGTCACCCAGTAAGAGAAGGAATAGACACGCTTCTAATGCTTCTGTACAGAGCTTTAAACCGTACTGAAGATATGGAGAATCTTGCATCTTCTGATAATAACTGCGTCGTGGTATGTCTTTCTAGTGAATATATTATACACATGCGCATATTTGCATAGCCAAATCGATAAGTGGCACCACAAATTAAGAGCTGAAAGATGTAAGAAATCTGTAATTTGGACCTAATAATCTATTTCTTTGACAGAGCTAGTTGAGTAAGATAGTTATGGCTTGGGTAAATAGGAGAAGAAATCAAGTTTCCAGTGCCTAGGAGACTCTGCGTTTTTATATTGTTGTACTTATAATAGTTTGGCAGTTTTGTAGCTGAGAGCTAGTTTAGTAAACTACTATGGCACTGGACCAGTGATAACCATTGTGTGCTATAGTATGACTTCCCTAAGAAGAGAAGCTACACTGAACCGCTGTTAGCTGGAAATTACGAACAGTGGACTGTAGTACTCTAGGATTTTATGTTAATGTACCATGAGGAGATTAAAATTTAATGGATCCTTAAATTACAATTGAGAGTTTGTTGTCAGAAGGCTGCTTGAGGAATGACTTTACAACTTGCGTGGGCGGTGCAGGAGGAGTTGGAGACTGCTTTAAATGAATCTGGACATTTACGGACACTGGCATTCCTCTATGCAAGTAAGGGGATGAGTGCAAAGGCTCTTGCTATTTGGCGTCTCTTTACAAAGAATTATTCATCTGGTCTATGGCAAGACTCAGATGACTTGGTGCCCTATTTACACGACAACGAGCTCATTAGGTTATCAGGTAAAGAAGCTGCTGCCGCAGAAGCAGCCAGAATTCTTGAGGAACCCTGTGATACAGAACTGACATTGCAGCATCTTAGTTGGGTATGACATTTAATATATTATAATCCCCAAGTTGTTTTGGCTTTGTACATTAAAGATTTGCATCTTGTGAATATAATTGATGATTGCTATATCATTTTTCAGATTTCAGATATAAACCCATTGTTTGCGATCCAAGTCTTGACGTCTGATAAAAGGACAGAAGAGCTTTCGCCAGGTGGGAATCAGGGTTAACAGGACATTTGTATTTGATTGTGAGTCGGATGTTGATCTCTTTTCGTTATTCTCAGAAAAAATTTGCCAAGTGTTTCTTAGGTTTACAATTGTTATCTATTCTGGATTTGTTTTGATGAACAATGGCTTAGTTGAAGTCTGGGATGACTAAAGTAATGCAAGAAGCTCAAGGCTGCTTTGGGTTTAGGGTAACATCCATGCTTATATTCTCATGTCTCTAGTGTGTTTTACATCATTACAGTTAAGAATAAAATTAGAATAGACACTATCCCATAACTGCTGTAAAAAACTACAGTATCCAAATTGTTTTTTTCCTTAATTTGGCTGGATTTTGAGTGTCTTGCATATGAAATTAGATACACAATGGTGGATAAGCACTAAACTTTTCTTATTGATGTAAGGGTATGTGTTTCGTAATATTGCAGAGAAAGTAATTCAAGCTATTGATCCCAAAAAGGTGGAAATCATACAGAGGTATAGTTAGTTACAGCATACATAAATTTCATAAAATTGAGTTTACTAAAACCGTACTAGTAAATACTAGGAGGAAGGTCCACGGGAGTTTTTTTGTAGCAAAGTTGGGAAGTTTATAAACTACTATTTTATTGCCGAATTTACATATACTGGTTAGGTACCTCCAATGGTTGATTGAAGAAAGAGACTACAATGATCCGCAACTGCATACATCCTATGCTCTCTCACTTGCCAAATCAACACTTGAATGTGTTGAAGTTCAAAATGGTATCCAAGAAGCTGATTCTGGAGGCAGAGAGGCACACGATTATAATGTTGGAAGTATTTCTTTGTTTGAAAGTGATGTACGGGAAAGATTGCAGACTTTTTTGCAATCTTCAGACCTATATGATCCTGAAGAAATCTTGGATTTGATTGAAGGATCAGAACTGTGGTTGGAAAAGGTTTGTCTGTCACATTTGTTACCTTCTGTTTATGAATGGTGCTAAAAAGTGACATTTTGTTGTGTATGAGAATTTATTATGTTGGTACACCGATGGTTGTTCGATAAATTTTCTACTGTCAATATTTTTGTGCTGTTTTACCCAATTGACATATGTATACATTTTTTTTGATAGGCAATCCTATACCGAAGGATAGGGCAGGAGACATTGGTCCTCCAAATTCTAGCACTGTAAGCTCACATTTATAGTGATTAGAAGTGATAAAGAACGGACCGGAATTGTCTATATGATTGTTCTGGAAACCGAAGATTTTGAGAGCTTATGAAGTGAGCAGATACAGTTTATGGTGAATTTGAATGTGTGGTTACTGATAACATTTTCTGTGGTGGGCGCAGGAAGCTTGAGGATTGTGCAGCTGCAGAGCAATATTGTGTAGAGATTGGAAGACCAGATGCATTTATGCAGTAGGTTCTTTTCCTTTATTTCATCACTTTATTGTGAATGCCATCGCATGGTTGCACTTTTCCTTATTCAATTCTTATAACAGAAAAATTATCTTAGGTTACTTGATATGTACCTGGATCCTCAAAATGGTAAAGGGCCTATGTTCAAGGCTGCTGTCCGTCTTCTCCACAACCACGGGGAATCACTTGATCCTTTGCAAGTTTTGGAAGTAAGAAACCCCAGTCCTTCATATGAAGCTGATGTTGCTTCTTATCCTAGAGCTTTTTCATTTGCTAGTTATTTGATGATGGAGCTGATATCATGTTTTATTTGGCAGAAATTGTCTCCTGACATGCCCTTAAAACTGGCATCGGATACTATTTTGAGAATGTTGAGGGCTCGGGTTCATCATCATCGTCAAGGCCAAGTAAAAATTCACAATCCCTTTGCTCTCTAATCAGTGTATTCTATATCTGCTACTGTTGTGAATATCTCTGTTTTGAGAAGGGAAAGGAGTGGGGGAGGAATATTGTGTGTTTTAGTTGTCAAATCTGCCATGGGTAACAGTAATATGCACAGTTAAATGCCAAGAGGAGATCATTACCGGAAGTAACATTGATAAAGTTATTAATACTTGGAACAGTGCTTTATCTTCTTGAATCTATAATGTGGTGTGGGTTGTTGAGCTTTAGTGTCTGAATGTTCTTAAGTCAATGGTTACAGACGGTACACAATATATCTCGTGCATTGGATGTGGACTCAAGGTTGGCAAGATTAGAAGAAAGATCACGACACGTGCAGATAAATGACGAGAGTCTCTGCGATTCCTGCTATGCTCGCCTAGGAACCAAGCTATTTGCTATGTACCCTGATGATACCATTGTGTGTTACAAGGTTAGTCCACCGCCTACTACATCTCTTGCAACAAAGCAATGATGCATGCCTTGTGTGTTTTTTTTTTACAACGAGCATGAATTCATTGCATGTTTCCTTTCCCTGAGGCTACTTTTGTTCTTCTTCTTGTTCCCAGTGTTACCGACGCCTGGGTGAATCAAAGTCAGTGACGGGCCGTGACTTCAAGCGAGATGTTCTGATAAAACCCGGTTGGTTAGTGAACCGGTAGCAGAAACCTCTTGTTCGGTAACAATGGCGTCTTTCACCTGATCTCTAACCTCTCACAAATACAGAGAAGCCCGTACAGTACACAGATGATGAAGAACGTAATGAACAGCATAAGAATCTGAATTCGGATTGCCATAGCTTCATGAAGTTCGTCTCTTAGGCTTGTGGAGACATATTCAGTCGGAAACATTTCAAAGGTTCTTGACGTTACCGCAATGGTGGAGGGCATCGAGTAGTTTTCTTTGTGACAGACAGTTATGGGCAAAATGATCTATTAAATTTATCTAATGCCTTGTAATCTACTTTTTACTCAAGACGGAGGACCTGTTTGGGTAATAAATGGAAATAATAAATCCTGTAATAAAAACCAGAAGAAAAAGGTAACGAGTGAGAAAAAGATAAAAAAAAAAGGGAAGAAAAATCAAACAGACAAGTCCGTCGCTGGAAAGAGGGTCTCAGGGGAAGAAGACGATCTTCGAATAATATCATTTCAGGTTTCTGCTTCTTTCTGATCCATCACCTTCCTCTTCGACACTCAGATTTTCGTTTTCCTTTCTTCGTCGAAATTCGGAAAAAACGTTTGGGAGAAAAATAAAAAATGTCGATTAATATGAGAACGTTAACCCAAGCTCTGGCCAAGACGGCTGCGGTGATCGAGAAGACGGTTCAAACCACAGTCCAGGAGGTTACAGGTCCCAAGGCTCTTCAGGACTACGAGCTCCTCGATCAGATCGGCTCCGGTGGTCCTGGCCTCGCCTGGAAGCTCTTCTCCGCCAAGGCACGCGACTCCACGCGGCCACAGCAGTATCCCACCGTCTGCGTCTGGGTACTTGATAAGCGAGCCTTGTCGGAGGCTCGTGCCAGGGCCGGTTTATCCAGGGCTGCCGAAGACTCGTTCCTCGATCTGATTCGCGCTGATGCTGGGAAGCTGGTCCGGCTTAGACACCCTGGTGTGGTCCACGTGGTTCAGGCGCTTGACGAGAACAAGAATGCTATGGCTATGGTTACGGAACCGCTTTTCGCCTCCGTGGCTAACGCCCTCGGGAATGTGGAGAATGTGGATAACGTGCCGAAAGATCTCAAGGCCATGGTGCGCTTTTTTCCATAGTAATCTCTGAAGCTCAAGTGAGAATTTGACTGAGAAAATGGAAGATAGTTGGTTTACTATTTCATATAATTGTGTTGCAGGAGATGAGCTTGTTGGAGGTGAAGCACGGTCTCCTTCAAATTGCCGAGACATTGAACTTTCTCCATAATAACGCCCATCTCATCCACCGTGCTGTTTCCCCGGAGGTTGCTTTTCCGAATCTATAATCATACTTGTTGGAAGCTGTCGTGCTTTCTAAACCTGTGGATCTGAAAACGTTATTGCAGAATGTTCTTATTACTTCGACTGGTTCCTGGAAGCTTGCCGGATTTGGATTTGCTGTTTCAGAAGCACAGGCTGGGAATTTGGATAACATGCAATCGTTCCACTACTCTGTGGGTACTTAAACTCATATGATCGATTACAAGATTGACGTACAATATATTTTCTGTTCAACTATGGCATCTAGATTGATTTCCTATGCATGATATGATGACTGTTTTTTTTTTTTCTTCATATGGATGGACCTGTGCAGGAATATGATGTTGAGGACTCAATTCTACCACTCCAGCCATCTTTAAATTATACAGCACCTGAATTGGTGCGGAGCAAAACTCCTTCAGCTGGAGTTTCTTCAGATATATTTAGCTTTGGATGCCTCGCCTATCATTTAGTTGCACGGAAACCATTGTTTGATTGCCACAACAATGTCAAGATGGTAATTCTAAAACCCAAGCCCGTTAGTTTAATCTTCAGGCATAGACACACTGTCTGATCTTTTTTTTCCTGTAAGATGAAACAACCTCAGAGGTGTAGTTTCTATTGTAGATGTATTTTCAGATTATCCTGTAAAAAAAGTAGTATAATATCTGTCTGCCCCATAGCTGATAATGGTTACCTTGCAATTTTCTTGCAGTACATGAATACGTTGAACTATTTAACAAATGAAACTTTCTCTTCTATACCCTCGGAATTGGTATCTGATTTGCAACGGATGCTGTCAACGAATGAGTCCTTTAGACCAACAGCATTAGATTTCACAGGTTGGAATACTGAATTCTTTCTGTTTTTTGTGTTAAGTTTTACCTCAATAATTTTTGCACTTACATCTTGGACTTGGACTTCACCTACAGGATCTATTTTTTTTCGAAGCGACACAAGGTTACGTGCCCTCCGTTTCCTTGATCATATGCTTGTATGCGTCTACACTTCCAATCATCGTTTCAGACAAATGTCTTTTAGATAGTGGGAAATAGATATAATTTTTTTTTATTGCAGGAAAGAGACAACATGCAAAAGTCTGAGTTTTTAAAAGCATTATCAGATATGTGGAAAGATTTTGATTCCCGTGTATTACGGTATAAGGTAGTCACTTTCTGGCTTCTTTCCATTATTCTGTTAATAGAAGAAAAAAAATCAGTTGGTCAAGTGATTTGCCTTGTAACAACTAATCAAACCAGATTTTGTCACGCAGGTGCTTCCGCCTCTTTGTGCTGAACTTAGAAATTTGGTTATGCAGCCAATGATTCTTCCGATGGTTCTAACTATAGCAGAGTCTCAGGTGCCTTTTCTAATCTGGGGTAGTTGCATTCGGTCAATCAGATTTCCATGTGTTTTTGCCCTCCTCTTTTGTTTGAGATATAGATACCAGCGGTTTCTATAGAAAAATTGTCTTTTTATTACTTGTGTCTTATGACCTATCACAGGCACATATACTTAGACTTACTCAGTAGTACTAGTTACTCTTTTCAACTGTACAAATCGTAATTGCACAAATAGATACCGGCTTTATATTAAATTGTCATCTGTATAATCACAATGACCTTTGACAAGGAATTCTTTTAAATCTTTATCATGTTTTAATGAACGCTGTCATAAATTAAAATTTGCAATTTGCAGGATAAGAATGACTTTGAGTTGATAACGCTCCCAGCTCTTGTTCCTGTTTTGAGTTCTGCTACGGGTGATACTTTACTGTTGCTTGTAAAGCGTGCAGAGCTTATAATTAACAAGGTACATCTCTAACCTATATGTATGCATATTTAGTGTCTGCGAAGTTCTACGATTTGACACAATGGAAAAGGGTTAAGGAATTAATGTGTAAAGTATTGTTACCTATGACATTTCTAGTGCCATTACTTCAAATTTTAAATAAATGGCAGTGCCAAAACTAGTCATTCTTTCTTATGCTGCCGTAAACCAATACAAGACCTTCATTTTCAATAAGCTGGCTCATGTTTCTCTCTTGACTTCTATTCCTAACTGATTTGTTTCTTTACTCCATTCTAGATATGCTTAAATTTTCCCTTATTTTGTTTATCATCTTATGCCTGCGGATCTTTTACTAGCGTATTTTTGTTTAAATTTGCAGACTAATGCAGAGCATCTTGTATCACATGTCCTCCCTTTGCTTCTCCGAGCCTACAACGACAACGATGTCCGGATACAGGAGGAGGTTTTGAAAAGATCCACATCTGTTGCTAAACAACTCGATGGTCAGGTGATGATTGATGCTTTGTGTTTTATATATTATTGGATGAGTTTCATCTGAATGGACGATATAAGCTTCAGGATTTATGTGTGGCTTACACAAGCTTAGTGTCACATGCGTTTTAGTTTTTGTTCTGCGAAGTTACCTCAGTCAGATGCATGGCTAAGTTTGTTCAGTTCTTAATAATTTTTTCAACTTGTTTTTGCAGGTTGTAAGGCAAGCAATTTTGCCTCGCGTTCATGGCTTGGCTCTCAAAACCACAGTTGCTGCCGTATGTTAGCCTTGATTAGTTCAATCTTTGTGTCTTTTAAAAAACAGAGAGATTAAATGAAGAGCACGATCTTCTTAACCAAATTTTTGATTAGAACGTTCCTGTGGTGCAGGTCAGAGTGAATGCTTTGCTCTGCTTAGCAGAGCTAGTTCGAACGCTTGATAAACTCGCTGTTACTGAAATTCTTCAAACAATTCAACGCTGTACTGCCGTTGATCGCTCTGCACCTACCCTTATGTGTACTCTTGCAGTCGCAAACGCAATTCTCAAGCAGGTGTACTTTTATTAGAAACATTTATACTTTCTCGCTTTATATTTGTGTACTAGCTTATAACATGACTACTTGTCTCATAATGCGCTCTCCATAATTTTTTCTGTAGTATGGAGTCGAATTCACTGCTGAACACGTGCTTCCGCTGATTATACCGCTTCTCACTGCCCAACAATTGAATGTCCAACAGTTTGCCAAATATATGCTATTTGTCAAGGATATTCTCAGGTATGCCTCCAATCAGTTATGTCCCTGTTTCCAAAGCCCTTATTCCCTTTACAACTGCACACCATTGTTGTTGTTTTCAACATCTGGTTTGTCTATCCTCTTGTCTCGGAACAGGAAAATAGAGGAAAAAAGAGGAGTTACACTGAATGATTCTGGAGTCCCTGAAGTGAAACCAGGCTCTGTCGCAGATGGGATCCAGTTTCAAACACCAACCCCAAAAACTGAGACGGTTGCTTCTGCAGCAAAGAACAGTCCTGCATGGGATGAAGACTGGGCTCTACCGACCAAAAGTTCTGCTTCGAAAGATCCTGGACCCGCAAACGCTCAGTTCAACAAATCTACAGTTCAGTCACAGCCATTGAACCGGACAACATTACCAACAACCTGTCCTGCAGTGGACATAGAGTGGCCACCAAGACAATCTTCCAATGTCACTGCTCAGCCAGCTAATGATGAGACACGGCTAAACGCTGCAGGAACATCGTCAACTCCAAGTTTTGATGAACTAGACCCTTTTGCTAATTGGCCACCACGGCCCAACGGTGCTTCCATTGCTTCTGGGGGTTTCTACAACAGTACTGCCACTCGACCTCCACTGAACAACAGTGGTTCTGGTTTGAGCAACAATTTAACAGACAGTACGCAGTTTCAGACAGCAAACAACGACTTCTGGGCCTCTGGCAATGCCTCCCTATCTTCTTTGAAATCACAGCAGCAAGATGGTTCAGGTATCAGCGCAAGTAACCCAGATCCTATGAACTCTTTCGGGATTCAGAATCAGAACCAAGGAATGCCGTCTTTCGGAAGCAGTTCACTCAGTAACCAAAAGCCGGCAGCAGACATCAGTTCCATATTCGGTTCAAGCAAAACCGAGCAAGGTGCAATGAAACTGGCACCACCGCCTTCAATAGCAGTGGGAAGAGGAAGGGGAAGGGGAAAAAGTGGGACATCTAACTCAAGGTCAAGTGGTTCGAAGCAGCAACACACCGAGCAGCCATCGCTGTTGGATCTATTGTGATCTCGGTCGAGACATTGTGCAGTACATAATATATTAATGTCTCTCGCCAGTTTGATATAAGTTCCATGGGAAAAAAACATTCCTGTCTTTTGTTGTACATAAATATCTTCCTTTTTTATAACATTCGTTACAAGAGATTAAATGATTTGATTTTAGGGTTATTAAATTATTCACGATAAATATTCATTCGATCTACTGGTAAAATCAAAAAGATCAAGAATGGTAAACAATGGTTGATCTTGTCAAGTAAATTGGTTTACTCGAAAACCGGATTGTTACCAACAAATTAGAAAATGGTTTGTTTTTTTTTTTTTGGGATTTCAAGTAATTATAATACTTATTCAACGTATCATAAGAAGGGAACAATCCAAGCTGGCTATCACGTTAACGTGCCGCAGCCGCACAAATCACAGCTCATCGATGACCTCGTGGGCCCATTTTCCCGTATATCTGCCTTCCTTCCTTCTCCTTCTTTCCAGTTTCCACTTTACTAACCTTTTTTTTTTTGGCTTCTTCCCTTATTTCCCACCAAATCAATTAACATTATTTATTGTTGTCATCTCGTGGCATTCCCCAATCAGAGTAGTTCACACTCTTCCCACGCAAAAGAAATGTTTTTGTTACAAAGGAATTTAATACTACTTTATTATATGCTACAAAACTTGTTTCACAAATTGAGAAATGCCCTGAAAAGATCATCTGGTTTTGTTAAAGCTTTTTTTTCCAATCAGGCCTGTTTCCAATATAGTATCCATCGTTCGTTGTGTAGTTCTGGATGTTAAAGTTGGTAGAAAATTAGAAAAAAATCTAGGCAACTGGGCAAGAAAAAATATTACATTAATGAACATAGTATAGCATAAGCTCAAAGTTTTGGGAATTGCAAATTTTCAGGGAAAAAAAATGTTACTAGTGTACTTTGTTTTGGAAAAAAAAAAGAATAAACCTCAATAAATTGCAAAATTCTAAACTATGGACCAATAATCAATCCATCTTCCTCGACTCGCTCGCCGATTTCAATTTGAAGTCTCTTTGACTCTTCTTCTCCCCTTTTACGGTTTAAACTTGGTGTAATTCTGCGTGGCTTCCCTAAACGTATTGTTTCCCAGAAACAGAGACAGAGTTTGTTTTTTCCTTGCTACGACTCTTCTCGCTGATGCGGAAACCGGATATGCTACCGGAAAAACATTCGCCTGGGTTTAGTCGATCGGATACTAATCGGCGGCGGCGACGACGTTAAAAAGTGATAAGCGTACCGAATCCTCTTCTGGGTTTGTCTTCTTCCTCAATATTTCTTTGAGGAAAAAGTCGTCGTTTTTTTTTTGCTGATCATATCTCCTCTAAGGTGATTCTTTACTCCGATCAATTCTCCGGTCAATTGTAGTCGTCTTTCTGCGTATTCCGCGCACCCGAAATTACAATTACTCTGTTTCTCTCTTGAACGCGGGATTTGAGCTCTGGCTCGTCGAAATGATCGGTGTATATACTTGATTACCTTCAAATACTCATCAGATCTTGCTTCGTTGCCCTTCTCGTTATCGAACAAACCCTCATTTTTTTCCAGCTTGAGATATGCTGTTTCACAGTAGTTACGTATTATTGTCTTTGCTTGAGCTTAATACAGGCCTTTTTCCGTATTAGAAGTCGATTTTTACTTGCACATCTAATAGGTATTGGCTAATAACAGGGCGTGTGATCTGTCCAATCGTGTTAGTGGTCCTCTCTTGGCTGGATGTGCAATGCAAAGGCCGTGTCTTCGGGTTAGAAGAAGAGTTTCTGAGAGCAGCAATTGTAATGGAAGGAACAGCTTCTACAAAGTATCTCTGTCTCTGGTTTTTCTCCTTTGGCTACTTCTCTTCCTATCCACCTTGTTGATTAGCCATGGAGATGGTGGCAAAGGTAACTTTTTTATGGAATGCAAACAATAGTTTAACAAAACCCCACTTTTAACGGTGGTTACTGTGAATGATCATTGTGTTCTCTACTCATAAATAAATTTACCTTTTAGCATCTTATGAACCAGCGCTTGTGTACTTGCAGATGCGGCTTTGATTGACTCTGTAGGAATAGCTGATCCGTATGATGGTCGGACAGATGAGACAGCTGTGCCCTTGGATGCACCGCCATTAGTAGAGCCTGATTCTGTTCATCGTGTTACTTCTGATTTGAGCCGGAATGATGGTATAACCCCGTCTGAGGAAAGTGAAGACAAAGAAAAGTCTGTGAAGCAAGCAGAGATCAATAGCACAGTTTTAGGGAATGATACGGAAAGCAAAGACGATCACTTTTTGAAACAAAGTGAGATAAACAAGACAGATGCAGGGAATGACGCAGAAAGCAAAGAGGATGATTTTTCGAAGCAAATAGAGATGAACAAGACAGGTACATGGAATGACGCAGAAAGCAAGGAGAATGAGTTTTTGAGGCAAAGTCAGATGAACGTGAACGAGACAGGCACAGGGAATTATACAGAAAGCAAAAAAAATGAGTCTTTGAAGAAAAATCAGATGAACAAAACAGATCCAGGGAATGATACAGAGATCAATGCTTCAAAGGTTGATCAACTCTCTCGTGCTGTGCCGATTGGCCTTGATGAGTTCAAGAGCAGAGCGTCAAATTCTAGAAACAAATCGTTATCAGGTCAGGTCAGTGGTGTGACTCACAGGCTGGAGCCTGGAGGGAAAGAGTACAATTATGCATCTGCTTCAAAAGGCGCAAAGGTCCTGTCTTCGAACAAGGAAGCAAAAGGGGCTACAAGCATCCTAAGCCGGGACAATGACAAGTATCTCAGAAATCCGTGTTCTACTGAAGGTAAATATGTCGTCATAGAACTTTCAGAGGAAACGTTGGTTAATACCATCAAGATCGCGAATTTTGAGCATTACTCTTCCAATCTGAAAGAGTTTGAGCTTCAGGGCACCTTGGTTTATCCAACTGATACATGGGTTCATATGGGAAACTTCACAGCTGCAAACGTGAAGCACGGTCAAAACTTCACACTCGTGGAGCCAAAGTGGGTGAGATACTTGAAGCTAAACTTTCTAAGCCATTATGGTTCGGAATTCTACTGCACCTTGAGTTTAGTAGAAGTCTACGGAGTGGATGCCGTAGAACGAATGCTGGAGGATTTGATATCCGTGGAAGATAACAAAAAAATATTCAACACCCGAGAGGGAGATTTTGAGCAGAAGGAGAAGCCAGTAAAGCAGCAAACAGAGTCCACTGAAGGCGATGAAGGAGCTGATAGGAGCACGCAGAGAGGGAACGAGCGGGAAACCGCAGCAGAGAATATGGTAGCAAAAGCTGAAGCATCAATGGCGAAGAGTAGTAATAAGCTTACAGAGCCAGTGGAAGATGTAAGGCGTCATCAGCCAGGAAGCAGAATGCCAGGGGACACAGTGCTGAAGATACTGATGCAGAAGTTAAGGTCATTGGACTTGAACCTATCGGTTCTAGAGAGATACCTGGAGGAAGTGAACACGAGATACGGGAACATATTCAAGGAGATGGACGGTGAAAGCGTTGTGAGAGAGAAGGCGATTGTGACTTTGAGACTTGACGTGGAAGGTATGAAGGAGAGGCAAGAGAGGATGGTGAGTGAAGCAGAGGAGATGGAAAAGTGGCGAAAGAGAGTTGAGACAGAGATGGAGAGAGCTGAGAAAGAGAAGGAAAACGTGAGTGAGAGGCTTGAAGAAGTTTGGCAAAGACTGGAGTGGATGGAGAAGAAAGGCTTGATGGTGTTCACAGTGTGTCTAGGTTTTGGGACTATGGCTGTTATTGCAGTTGTGGTCGGTATGGGGACAGGTCGAGCAGAGAAAACCGGTGGTGGGGCTTGGCTCTTGTTACTGATTAGCTCAACATTCATTATGTTCGTTTTGTCTCTTTGATGAGAGTTTTGATCTTTCTTTTCCTTCTGTTTTTTTTTTGTACACTGTAGAGTCCATGTTTACTAATTTAAAGTCAAGTTCGCCTTGAGGTTCAATAACCGGATAGACACTGGCGCGACTCAATCTTGAACCGGTATATGGAAATGAACCATGAAACTAGAAAACAGTACGTAAAGACACACAATACGTAACCTCGAAGAAAGGAAAAGGAAAACTGTTTGTATCTCTCTCGATACAAGTCTTCCTATAGTGAAAAGAAAAAATTAAAAATGGCATAGAAGTCCTATTTTGCGGACGTACATAAAAAAGTGAAAGTAAATGCGTTTGAGTGGAAATGTAGTAGGTGAGTATTTCAAGTTTTCAACGATGCTTCATTTTTATTTTTTATCTATATAATGAGGGTAGATGTTAAACCTAATCACTGAGATTTGTAGAAAACCGAGTATTTTAGTCATTTAATTTATAATAGCTAAGAAAAAACCACATTACGAATCATCTACCCACTCGAAGAGACCACTGAATCACGTTATATATAACATGAGTTCGCCTTAATTATTATGTATGGAATTGAGTGAGAGCCGAAAGTTTGCTTTAACTTATAATGGCTATAAAAGCAACACATGTATTTGGTTTTCTTGTCTCTCTGCTTCTTCTGCTCTTATTGATCTCCTTTCAAGTTGGAGTCTCCGAAGCTGCCAACCGTAACCAACGTTAGTACACATTCAATCTCTTGCTTTGCTATTTAGAGGGTTTTTTTTTTTTCTGAAAGATCATACATATATAATATGAAACTTACCTCCCAATAATTCACTATGATTGAAGTTTCTCTTGGATTACAGTTTCTATTCTTCATTAAAATCTCTCAATTCTGAAGATTAATATATTTTCCAGTTTTTCTTATAAATATCTTTGTGCGGGTTTGTAGATTAGTATTTATTTTAGCTCGTGGCTATATCAAAGTTATAAAAAAAAAAATTCCGAGTAAAATTTATGGTAAATATAATATATATAATGTCAATTATTGGCAGGTCAAGGACCGGGCTCGCAGTCGCCTCTCCCTCCTACTGCCCCTATATATCTGCCGCCCTCTAAATCGCGCAGAGGAAAGGGTCCATAAGCAGAAAGAAACTGTAATGGTCAAGACGATCAAGACTATTGTTGTTATGATCTTATATATTCTTTTATAAGTAACCTTTTCGGATCATATCAGAAATTTTTATAAGATCATCTAATAGTGTTTGGTAATATATATGACCATATTGTACGCTATATAATGAAGCTTATTTTTGTCTGGTCAGAAACTTATTATATATTTTTATAGGACTCGTGGTGCAGTCGTTTTTTAAGTTATCTACACACCTTGACACAACAACAACAGTTTTTAACAAATTAATTATTCTCAAATTACAATAAATAAAATCCAAAATAGTTAATGCAAAATGAAAACGTTGTACTCGACGACGGCATCTAAACCATCAAGCTTATAATTCTTGGCCTGTGCATAGCCTCTAGCGAACCTGAAGGCACCGGTGCCTCCAATGATGGGCATCTCTCTCACCTCCAACATAACCGAGTTCCGTCCATACATCGCGACGGTGCTGCCGTTAAACTCTCCTTCCGTGAACACCAAGTTAAAGACCATCGTGAAGGTTAAGGCATTCATGTCGGTCGATGCGTACATACCCTGACCTCTCCCCACTTCCTTCGAGGTCCGGTCGGGTCCCTCGGTCAACAGGTTGTCGGCGATCACAACCACACCAAATGATGAGACGGCTGAAGAGTTTGTGACGGTGGGTTTGGTGACTCTGATGGCGGTGGGTTTGTCACCGGAGATGACGTCATGGAAGTAGAAGTGGAGGTGGGTGTGTTTCTCCGGCTTATGTCTTTGAAACGGCGTCGTTGTGGAGTAAGCTTCGGATTCTGTAACGGTGACGGCAAGAAGAAGAATAGCCAAGAAGAGAGGACGAAGAAGAATAAGAAGAAGGAGACGTTTAGCCATGTTCGTTAGTTGTGTTTTTAAGCTACAAAGTCAAAAATATGATATATACTTTAGGCTATTGTATGGAAATGAAGAGATGTGATTCACTTATTTATACACAAAACAGTACGTAACGACATGAAAGCATGAATTTGTTAGTTTATACTATAATATTTGTATATATCGTTAGTTGATTAGTCAGTGACAACAACATGTCCGTTGACGAGGATGTAAACTAGGGATCAGATAGAATTGTATAAACAAACAACTACAAAAAAAAAAAAAAAAAACTTTATATTCCCACCCGTACGAATACTTGTGATATATAAAATATGTAAATCATAAGGTCTAACAAGACACCATGAGAATATATATATATTGCGATGACTCTATATATTTATAGATGGGATTGTAAAGACTGATCCAAATGCAATAACAGTAGTGTTCTCTAATGAGTGATAATTACAATATTCTTTTTGTAGACCATGAATGAGCCATCCACTTTACAAAGAATCGCGATGGCCTAGATTCCTGATTGATGAGAGAAATCTTCCGACTCCTCTCAAGAATTGGGCTGGAATATACCATGCGTGGATCTGTGCTACTTCGTTACATTACGTCTTGGTTGAGTAATAATAGGTGCAAGTGATTCCTCCCATGGAGATGATTTATATATGATCTATTGAACCAAGCGAGCTTTCAAGGCTCAATTTACCCAATGGGTTTCCAAGATTTATTGGTCAGTTCCAAACCTTTTTCTTTAGGTACATTTTATGAAATGTTCTAGAAATTTAATGCAAAATGGCTTTCAATAGAGAGTGTAAAAAAAAAGTTTGAGAGGATTTAAAAAATCAATTCCTACCGTTAGATCGATTCTCCCATCTCTACCAATCATTTTGGTGATGAAGTTGTAACAAAAACAAAACTGTGGGTCGTTCAAAAACAAAAGAGCAACTAAACATTTTTATAACAAAATTTAACTTCTATTTTTTTTTTTCTCCTTAACTCCCTTAAAATATAATTGAACGTAACGCAGGAGATGATGCTACTGATACAATAAACAAGAATAAGCAAATGCCTCTATTCTCACGCGCATCTATCGCACGTCAAGTCGCCAACACCACATAACCTTTGTGTAGAGGCTGCGTGAGAGACACGAGCAATATCGGAAGAAGGATAGAGAGGATGTGGGGGGAGTGGGGGGCAATACTGTCTAATACAGAATTCACGTCCAATATCTTTTTCCCTATGTAACTTTTTAATTATTTTTATTTTCGCTTTTTTTTCTCTCTTACATCTTCTTCTTCTTGTTCTCATTACATATCAATCAACCCTAAGAAGAAAAAAAAAACTTTATCCTATGAATCTTACTAAGTAGATCTCTAATCTCTTTCCTACTATTTATATAGACTCCTTTGTAGCCTATTTCTAACTTTTTCATCTCTCTCAAGTGAAACATAGAGATAGTAGCTAAAGATAAGATAATTGTGTTGTAACTCTAAACATACACATACTCTAGAGAGAGAGAGAGAGAGAGAGAGAGAGAGAGAGAGAGAGAGAGAGAGGGGTTTGATCGGAGAAAAGAAATGGCGGGAGGAATAATAGGGATGGGAGACACGACGTACACGAAGGTGTTTGTGGGAGGATTAGCTTGGGAGACGCACAAGGAGACGATGAAGAAGCACTTTGAGCAGTTTGGAGATATTTTTGAAGCCGTAGTCATCACCGACAAGGCCTCCGGCAGATCCAAGGGCTACGGATTCGTATATACTACTCCTTGTTTTTATATATAGAGAGTGATATAGATATATACTAAAAAAAAAGGGAACTGATTAGTAAAGTGGTGGTGATCGATCAGGTGACATTCAAGGAGGCAGAGGCGGCGAGGAGGGCTTGTGTGGACGCTACTCCGATGATCGACGGCAGAAGAGCAAATTGCAACCTTGCCTCTCTCGGTCTTCAAAGATCCAAACCCTCCACTCCTAATCATGGTTAATATAGCATTTGTATCTCTTTCTCTAGATAATATTATTCTGTGTGTGTATACTTATGCAATTAATTAGATGAAGAAACAAAAGGGACAATTCTTAGTGAATATATGGTTGGTGTCCATACAAAGCTGGTTTTATTGGTTAGAAATTTGTGGCCAATTTAAGTATTGGAATTACATTATATATAGTTGGTGATTTGACGTTAATGGACCATATATAGAGATGTATATCAGTATATATAGCTTTGTGTTGATAATCAAAATGATGTTGTTGTTGATGATGGAGGATCGATGAATGTGTTAGGAGGAGGAGGAGGAAGAATTAACAATATGAGAGTGATGATGAGTACAATGCAGACTGGTTTTGGACCACCTCATCCACCACCCACTTTCCCTCACTATCCCCACCTCCCTCTCAATCTCTTCGGGTAATTTACTCTCTCTCTCTTTTTCCTCTCTCTCTTTTTTATTTTCCATGTAATGATCATGATGATAGTACCTGCATGTATACATGCATCAACATAACATGCATGCATGATACCATACAACTCATATATATTGTCAATTCAATGGAACAAAACAATTTTGCATATAACATAGCTGGCTGTCCTCTAATGTTTCCATTTTGATTGTGGACCGACACTATTAATATTCATTCATAGTATAATAGATCAACTCTTTTGTTTTTGTTTTTTTAATTAAATTTTCACAGTCTTTCGATAGACTAAATTGACTGACAAAGTAGTCAACGGACAGCTTGTAAAAACGAACTGATTCCCTCTTTCACCAATCATTTTACTCTCTCTCTCTCTCTCTCTCTCTCTCTCTCTCTCTCTCTCTCTCTCTCTCTCTCCTCACATGCTTTCCTTCTGTCTTGTGTCTCATGCTCATGTGGTGCCACGTGCATGCATATTTGTTGTCACTCTTAAAGTGTAAAAGAAAAACAATGATTTGATATTCGCAGGTACGCTCCATACTCGTCAGATTACTCTCCATTCCCTACGGTCCGTAACTTTTATTTCTCTGACATTAAGATAAAAAGTACTTGTATAACGAATCCAAGATTCTTTTCTGTCTCAAGAATCTAACAGTTATATAGTAATTCAAGGTCTAAGATAATTAATGTGTTACACATGATACAGAGCTTATACGGCGTGTACGGCTGCAATTCAGGGCCAGCAGGGCAATACGGAGTATATGGAAATGGAAACGGTGGAGGCGGTGGACTAACCGCAGCAGCCGCATCCGCCGCTCCTTTTTATCCTTGCGGTGGTGGTGGTGGAGTCCAATTCTCTCAACCACAACCATTTTATCATCATCACTTCTCTTCTTATAACAACCCTCACCATTACTCTCCTCCTACCATTTCTCTTCAACAAGGTTCATCTATGAACTATGATATTAGATAATATACAACAAAGCCCAAAAAAAAAAAAAAAAAGAGAGATACATTATTATAGATGACTAATATTGTTGACAGTATGTTTTGCTTTGTCACAGGCGTAACCGGCTTTCCACTTCAAGCACCTCTCATTCCTTACCGTTGAAAAGAAGCTTAGAGTCTTTGGTAGCTATCAAGTTTCACATCATCATCATCATCATCTTTCCTTTCTTCTACTCAAGTCCAGAGTCATCTATGGTTAATTGGAGGCTCTCTGGCTATCTCAACACTTTTTTTTTTCACTCCCTCTGTTCTAAAAGCCACCCCATGTTATGGAATTTGAGGTGGCTTTTATTTGCAGATCCCCCTCCCCAATGGGATCTTCAATATCAGATGGTGATCATGTCGTATTGTCATCTCTCACCTTCTTGCAATTGCATCTTCTCGAGAGATAATGGTTCTCTCTTGAGAGATAGTGATATTGCTAATGGAGCAGGATCATCAATCACTCATCATGTGCCAAACTTAAAGCTGATGCCTGTATCGGCTTATATTTGTTATCTTGTTTAGCCTAGGGATGGCTAATCAACAAGACAAACAAAAATGTCTGTTAGGATTAATGTAAAAAGAAAAATGAAGCACCCAAAACCATGTGCTGTTTTAATGACTGGAAAAATGTTTAAGCAAAATATCAGCATAACAACCCTGCCAGCCTTTTTGTTGCATGTTTCATGTACTTAGTCTTTGTAGCTTTAGTCATTCGGCAGATCAGTGACCACTGTAGTCACAATGTACTCCGTTATCCCAATGTATGCTTTTCAGTTCAGTTTTCACACAACCTTCTATTGCTGTCTTGACATAACCTTAATGACAATAGAGGGCTGAACAAATCTAGCGAGAAAACATGGTGTATCCCCATCCACGTTCATCTAAGGTTGTTTCAATATTTCACTTTTTAATTAAATGTCTTATGAAAAAATAATTTAAAACGCGAACTACAAATATAATATATTTTAGGAAAAAAAATAAGCTTTTTTGAAAACAGCCCTTTTGAAAGCATACCCAAGAAGGCTGAAAAAAAAAGAAAAAAAAAAAGAAGCTTTTTAGAAGTATTTTATTAAAGTCAGCCCCTAAGCCAATGTTTGCCAATCCATAACATACATACTGCCTCATAAACCGGGTCAAAAGGGAAGTCAATTGCGCAGACAAAAACAAAAGAATATCAACTTCACGATGTAATCATGGGCTCTGGATCCGATGGTTCGCTTGGAGGTTTGTTGGACTCACGAGGGGAATTGAACAAGATGTCTTTGATCACCTGTGCACATTGATGGGTGAAAAAATCGAGAGTGAATCACATGGATTCATGAACCAAAACGGAATAAATTACAGATTGTGTTTACTCACCTGTGACATTAGTCCATGGACCTGCTCGACAGTTATCTTTGCACTATCTCGAGTTATCTTAGCAAGTGGAGACTCGTCCTGAAAGTGATCATCCACAACACACACACATATATGTTAGGCTTTGAAATCTCCCAAACAGGTGACTCTAGAAAGTAAACAAGATTGAAACAACACAACTCTAGAAAACCAACGCAGACTATTGACAGCGACTTGTTGACGAATTGACACATCAAAGTCTTTCAATTTTTACTTGTTCAAACTTTAACAATTCTGTAATATGTAGACTAAACAAACACGCAACTGTGAAATCCTACAAACAGAAAAGGTGAACCATATTGATGTGCAGGTAAACTATTAGTATATATCTAAGCATCATACAGCCTAATAAGAATAAAGAGAGGTTGCAAATTCTGATAGGCAAACAAGATTTTCTACAAACTATCAATCCAAGTAGCTAGATGTTGATAGTAGCACTTAATTTCTAGATAAGAAAAAGCTTGACAAGTGGCATGTGGAAGAGCTCAAAATCATGGTCCTCTGTCTCAGACAGCCAGGAAACAATAAGAACATAAAAGCCACCACTTAGACAAACCTCTTTTTTCCTCTGAAGAGTGGCCGGTATCCCTCCAAACCGGGAGTGAGCCAGTTGACTCTCGGCTTGCTCAAGCTTCTCAGCTTCATTGGTAAAGGATTAAAATGATAAGAAAAGGGAAATTATTAAACTAGTAAAAAAAATTAACTTGGTCTTGCATATCCTAGAATTTACCCAAATCTGATATTTGTCCGGCAACATAGTCTCCATTGCCCAGCAGCGGGGAAGAAGAAAGAGTGTTCACCCAGTACTTGTTCCAAAGGAGATCCAGAAGGTGGCTATCAAGAGATGACTTGAAGTAAGTGATGTCCAATGAATAGTACTGCAACATCAAAAAGACTAATCATAAGAGCGATGATGGAAAAAAGCCTCCAAGATCAAAAATTAAGAAATGAGGATCCTAACAATTACCTGTTTGCAATGAACACCAAAGTCCTCGATCTTGTTTAGAGGGATAGTCTGGTACTCTGAAACATGATCATCTGAGATCTTATGTCCCTCTGGATATGTTCTGAATGCTCCGATCTCAACCTTACCAGCCGAAACAGTCCTTGTTGGATCAATAACAACAGCCAAGAAGGGTTCCTGATACTGCTGGTTAAGCATCTGTGTTGAAACATCGATACCCGAGAGCCAGCATCCATACCCAGGATGAGAGTGATACCATCCAACAACATTCTCCAACCGCCCAGCCTATCGTTCAAGATTATACAAATCACCAATCAAACAGTTTGAATTCTTGAATAACAGAGTTTAAAGAAAGCTTGAAGCTTCTGCAGAAATATGATAACACCAGCAAAAATTTGCATAAAGATCAGAGCAAGTAGCAACTGATTGTGATAGCCATCAAAGGTCACTAAACAAGAATAACTAAGAGGGCATTCCTAAAACCCAGAATGTCACAAAGATAGACACAAGGAGCATAAGAATCTCGCAAAGACGCAGCTTTGTGAGAGATAAGGAGCTACAGAAAGAGATACATTACCAGCTTGTTGGTCTGTGAGTATTCAACCATGTACTCGTACGCATCGGCCTGAGCATTAACCCTAGTCTCGGTACCTTCGACAGGCAAAGCAAAAGCGTCCATAACGATGATTGTATCACCATCGGTTTTCCCCTGCATAAGACCCATAATCTCGATTGTGCCACCAGAGCGCGCGTGTACAACCATCTTGAGAAGAGCGAGCGCCGAGATTTGAACGCGCTTGAAGTAGTTAGGATCGGAAGCCCATGGCTTATCCTGCTGGACCTTGGCCTGCGCGGTGTCGTCGTAGTAGAATATGCCGTCGGAGGATGAATCCGGAGGATCCACGGTTAGAATGTTGTTCTCGAGCTCCCATGTCTTCCTCGCGATGGTCGACGAACCCTCCATTCTTCACTCAGCTTAGCAGCGGAAATCTAGGGTTTTGCTGAATCGCAAGAGAATCGGTATTTAGGGTTTTTTGAGTAACGAAGAAGAGCCGATCAAAATGTCGAATTGATTGTTGAGGACTCGTGTGTGTGTATATACTGAAGCGAATTTTGGGCTCTGTGCGTTAAACCCAACGATATGCGGCACCGAGATTCGGAGGATTTACACCGAAAATTTATAAATCCGAAACATTTACCATTTTTATATTTAAAGTTTTTGATTTTATTTTATCTCTTTAAATATCAAATTTTGATTCTTTAACTTTTTTTGGTAAGAAATTTATGTTAATTCATTCCGGAAGAAAATATCTTCATTCATATTAAGGAAACTAATCTTTATAAATGCTACATAAATAAAAAATGTAATCTCAAAAAATAAAATAAAAATATATAAGACTATAGAAGATAAGAAAAAGAGATCACTAAAAATTTCACCAAGCAAGAAGAAAATTGAAAAGCCACAATTTTGGTGATGTACTATGTGAAGATTCGATTAAGAAAGCTCTAAGAAAATGAACTATAGTTTAAGAGTGAACATAACTCAACGGTAAATGGGCTATTAGCCTATTACTAAATAGTCTAGTACTGTTCTCAGGCTTTGATTAAAGTTTAAAACCTATAAAGAATTTGCTTATGGGTGAGAAAAAAAAATAAGTATACAGTGCGGGCATCATTGTAATGCTTTCATAATTTGCACTGGTTTAAAAGATTCAACAGGTGCTATCTGCCTTCCTCTTGGCTATATACATGGAATCGCCTCATAACCCAACCCATCATACATGAATGCATCAACTTTCTTTCTTTAACATCAAAATTACCAATAAACTTTCTTCTAGAGAGAGCCTCTTTGCTTAATCAATCAGAATGGATTTAGCATGACAAAAATTATCAATATATTGAGTTTAATATTATTTATAGCCTCTTTGTTTTTCGTTATACAATTTATCGTATATGGGTGTATAGTGAAGAATACTACCATCGAGTTGTTTCTCGTGTTCATTTGCATTTAACTATTTAAGAATACTGTATTTAATCCTAGATTGATAGATTAGAGTAAGTTTATCCATAATTCATATATTTTTATTGATCAATTTATACATATGCTAAGAAACTACACTTGTTAACTTCTACGTAATTAGAGATAATTTATGCTTTTATAAAGTTGGTCTATTTTATTTTCTCAAAAAGTCTAGAAAAGTCTTTGAAATTGAAGCGTTACAATCTTTATACCACGTGCTTCCAATCAAAGGGAGAGACTAAGGTGTTACTCAAAGGCTCAAAGTAGTGTCTTTAGATAGTGTCAATTGTTGGAATAACCTTTAAAGCCAAGTTGCTGAATAATTTCCTTTCTTTTTCAAAACATTATTAGAGTTTTGGTTGTGTTCCCGTTCATAAATTGAGTGAATGGTATAGATCAGAGGTCCAAAGAATTAATAGGACCACTTTAGTATTTTCTTCGTCGACATTGAAGGTTACAAGTTTATGGCTACTCTAGTTATCTTAATATCAAGTAAGTTGCTAATCTTAATCTATCTCAAATTTTCTCTAGGTCTTCGACATTTTGATGGTGATATCAATTCAATGGCGTACACTGCTCATTTAGAATGCAACTGTCTATTAGAAATTCAACTTCATCATATTAATTTGTAATCCTAAAAGAGACTTTTTGTTTTGTATTTCTTCTTGATTGAATGGAACTAGATGTTGTGCTAACATTAAATAAACAAAATTATTGATGACAATAAAATAATAATAAACAAAATTATTCGTATAAATCATAAATGCAATCGGGTTAGTTGTTAGCTTAGCGATTCTACCCTAGTTTCAAATTTTCATTTTCCACAAAATACACCTTTTGTTTGATTGTAGATGAAACCTTTTCAAAAACTGTAATATAAGTAATTCTAAATATGCGTTACGATCAGTAGATTATTATAATATGTTAAGATCTTCTTATAAATGATCGTATTGATAAAAGACGGCACTAATAAAAAAAAAATTCCGAATATTAACGTAAATGGTATGTTACATGCCATTAGAAGTTTATCCAACGACTTTTCTGGTTTACTTGGTTTGGTTTTTTTTTTGGTGTGTCGCATATCTTATAACTATGTTTTAAAATGCAACACTTTTTTTGTCGTAAACGAAAGGAGTGGAACTTGATCCACGTTGATATATCATCTCTCAATCTGAGTCTAGCTGTCGATTATTTACTTTTTAATTTCATTCTATTGCGATTTTAAGATCATGCGAGAATGTGGGTAAAATAATACTACTATTTATATTCGAAAACTTTCTACAGAATTATTTATTTGG